GTGCCCGTTCGCAGCGGGGACCGAGCCGTCGGCTGCAGAGACCCGGCCCCGCGGCGGGCGGCGGGCGGCGGGCGGCGGATCTCCGCTCCGCACTGTGCGCGGCCGAGCGGGCGGCGCTGCCCGGGAGCGATGCGCTGAGCGCACGGAGGGCCGAGCGCGAGGCTCGCGGGCGGCGCGGGGAGTCGACCCCATGGGGCTGGCGGGCACCGGGCGGAGCCTGTGGGCGCCGCCGCCGCCGCCGCTGCTGCTGCTGCTGCTCCTGCAGGTGGCCGGGCCGGCGGGCACCCTGGCTGAGACCCTGCTGGACGCGTCGAGGGCCATGGGCGCCAGCTCCAGCCCGCCCAGCCCCGCGAGCGTGGTGGCTCCCGGAACGACGCCGTTCGAGGAGAGTCGCCTGCCAGTGTTCACCCTGGATTACCCCCACGTGCAGATCCCCTTCGAGATCACCCTGTGGATCCTGCTGGCGTCCCTGGCTAAGATAGGTGAGCGAGCTGGACCAGCAGCTGGGGTGAGGGCTATCGGGTGGGGAAGCGCGTGTGGGTGTCTGAGTCGAAGGGGACCCGGGGAGGAGCATTTTCATGCTTTGGTTCTTAAGTGGACATTGGCCTTGAAATAGCCCCAAACTGTTAGCCCAGACGAAGTCAGTGACGTGCTGCTTACTTTTACCTCAGACGCCAAGTGGTACAGCCCTCTGCCAAAGCAGAGACCTGTTTACTGAGGGAGGAGGCGAGTGGGCTGAGGTTTATTCCTATCTGTCGTGGGGAGAGAGGCGCAGGCTAGCACAGAGGCCAAAACGGTTAAAGCCCTAGATGCTCCGAGGAGGGAGGCGCCTTGGTCAAGACACAGACCCTGCCATGCATCTGACTAATGAAGTGCCTGGGAGGGGACCAGGGACAACTGAGCGCTTGCAGCTGGGACAGGAACACCCTGTCTCCTCCCTCCTTTGGGCTGAGGCTTGTCACTCTCCAGGAAGCTTTTTCTTAGGCGACTGAGCCTAGTAAAGTGAGATGCATATGCAAAGATCATTAACCCACTTTTCAAACTATCTCTTTAACTCTCATTTGGAAAGCAGAAGCTCAGAATGTATTTTCTCACCTTCATTCCCCATCGCCCCCCTCCACATAAACTTTTGTTGTGATCATGGGGGCTTTACATTATTTTTACTTTATATTTTAAGTACTTTTTTATTTTGAAATATGTCAACTACTGTTGTTGTAAAGATTCAAAGAAGTTATTAGGTCAAAAGAATGATTGCATTATTGCATACGTCTTCAACATTTGTCCTGGGAAAGATCCCCTGCTGTACGATGAGGCAGGTCTCCATAAAGGATGAAGACACCTTGCCTGTCAGCCTCCAGCTTATTGATTGGTGGGAGAGGTACCACACACACCAGGGACCGTAATACAGGAAAGGTGCTAAGTAGTGTGACAAACTCCGAAAAGATAATATGGCAATGTAGGGAGGCAGAAATCACTTCCTCATGCAAAAGAAGCATTTAAATGGGGTTTTCAAGGAGGACCAGGATATGGTTAGTTGGAGATGAAAGGGAACAACGTTCCAGACAGGCATAAACAGAGGCATAAATTGGGGGCAAACACAAAGCAGTCCGAAGAGATGGGTTTGTACGAGGGTGGAAGTTGGGGTAGGTGAGCCTGATGTCAGATTAAATTAATTAGATTCTATTAATGATGACGAAAGGAGGCACATGCTGTTTAATGACTTTGCAGTCTGCGATTACCTGGCTTTGACATGGTTGTACTAGTTGCGTGTTTTAATTCCACCTGAGAACTGGAAGCAGAGGAAATGGATTTCCCTATCTATCAAGTAGATACGTGCATTTGCATAAATTCGTTGCCGGTAATAATAAACTCAGATGCTGTCTCCTCACATGGTCCTCACAACAACCCTGACATGTGGGAAGGACAGATATTAATACCCCCCCCGCTCCACTGGGTAGAGGCAGAAACTGAAACTCCAGAGAGTTGACATGAGTTGCTCACAGACACACCGAGTGGGGAGCCAAATGCAGGCTCTGTTGACTCATTCTCTTTCCCAGCCTCCATCACTGGCCTGGTGCTTTTGTGCCCTGTTTCCATTACTGCTTCTTGGTTGCCATTTCTATTCAATTACAACATTTTGTTTTGTTCTTCACTCCTGATTATTTTAATCTAATTAATTACACTAATAACAGCCGCTGGTAGGCACTTAAGTTCATTATCTCTAATTTTCACAACCATTCTGGGTAGGTATGATTGCCCGGTTTCCTATACGGCGAAGCAGAAGTGGGGAGGTTACCTTGCTGGTGGGTGGGGCGCCAGAATTCCACCCAGGTCTGTCTGATGTCTCATATTTGTGGCTCTCCTGGAGGCTTGTTTTCTCAGGAGGATTAAATGAGACTACCTATGTTTAACATTCTTAGAAAATCCTGGGCATGGAGTAAGTGCTGAGTATTGTCATCATTAGTAGGAGTGGAAAAGGAGTCACAGTATCTTCACTCGGTTCTCTGGTACTGCGTCTCCTTTTTCACTGGGCTGGGCTACCTCCTGCCTTTCTCTGTTTCTGTTTTAGGCTCAGCCTTTTCCAAGTGCTCTTATTTGCATGGGTTGCTTTTTCATACCTGTTCTTTTTCCATCATGATCCATTCATCTTGTTGGGCCTTACTCTGTTAATTGTGTGGCATCTTATTAAAATGCTTGTCTGAGTTCGTAGGTGTGTTGATCTGCCCATGGGCAGTATTTTTTTTTTTTTATCCAGATGTATTTCTATCCCCTGGCACTTGCTGTTCTCCCAGTCTTTCAGGCCTTCCCCCCCCCAATTCTCAACTTCACTGGCTACTATCTCCTCTTTCTCTTCTGCATCTGGGGTGGCACAGAGATGAAAATACAGACAGATGTTCATGTCTCCCAACCAGAAGGGTCTGAGCAGAGAGAGACCTGAGTAGAGACTGCCATGGGTGGGGTGAAGGATATAGCTCCCAGGGCAGAAAGTGCAGTTTTAGAGTCCCAAAAGCTAGTCCTTGGGGTCTTCCCTAGGTTCTTCCTGTATATAGTCCAACCCTGTCCTCCTGTTGCAGCTCTGTCTATCCTTAGAGGAGCCTGGAAGTGCCCAGATACCCCCCACCCGCTCCCCCAGGCCCTAAACTTTCTGTTGGCTTTGGGGAAGACTGTCTTTGTATTGAGGGATGCCTTTCCAGCCCATTCAGCAGTATCTCGTCATTCAAATTCTATTTTAACTTTTGCCCTGAAAAAACTGTTATTTGGGGGTGACTTAGATGACTTAATTGGCTCATACGTGGGGCAGGATGATGAATTGAGCTGTGCAGGGGACTTGAGGTGATGAGATAACAAATGTGTTAACTCGTGCGAAATGCCATGATTTCTGTTTGGGGCACTTTTATGCCGTGAGCCCAGTGTACCTGAACTTAACCTGCTGCAGAGAACATGGAGACACATTGCTAGTGATTAATCTAAACAAAGATAACAGGTTGCTCCAAATGGAGGCTCCTAATCACATCTGTAAGAAGTTTCAATCATGCCGGATGGTGAATTCAGCATAGTTTGCTAGATTGCAGCACAATATAATCTTAGAAATGTTGTGGTAAGAAGTACGCAAGTGCATTTTTGGCAGAGTGTTGAATGATTCAACGTTTCATTGTTTTTACCTGATTATCAGGGAAACTCAATTTCTGAATTATTGGTTAAAAAGAATGTTGTATAGTCATGGTGATGATGTGAATGCATATGTAAAGTAGGTTAAATAAATAAAAGAACATAGAATTTAGTACAACTTTGAATAGTTTTTAAAATTTTGGCAAGAAACATTTCCCAATTTGTTTTTCACTTAGATCCTTACACATGTGAAGTTGTATTGTTCTTTATTTTGAATGCTTATATTTTGAATAACTGTTGATTTTTTTAACAGCTATAAATGCACACCGTGCTTGGTAAATCCTATACACAGGGATGGAGTTCTGTAGCTTAGAATAATAGGTAGCCACAAAGAATTAAGAAGAGAAAAATTTCCTGGAGTGTTCTAAGATGGTCTTCTCTGCTTTCCTTCCCCATGAAGTGGATCAGTGAGCTTTGCCCTAAACTGGGTGAACTTGGGCATGTGTTCTACCTCTCTTTGAAGTCCAGGAACAGAGCACTGGGTCTCTACTGTTTAAAGCAACAGAACTCCCTTCTGTGTCCTCAGTGGTTTCCCAGATGTCCCCTCACTTGTCTTGTAGTCTTGAGCTGGCCTGTTTGCCTCTTCCAGGTGTCACCATACATCCTGCCCTTTTCATTTCCTTTACCCTTAAACTTGGGGTTAGGATGCAGAATTTTCCACTTTCCTCCATCCTGTTGTCTTGACATTAAATAACTTGTTTGTAGTATTGTTTTAAGGAAAAGGCAAAGCAGTTTGGTCCATGAAGGTTTCTCCTCTGGGCTCCAGTCTGGCCTGATTTGAAATATGAAACCAGATAGTTTCTTCAGTTGATATCTATCTGTATTACCTGAGATCTCGATCTCTTAGAAAAACCTACCCTTGCCCTTGATCTGTTTCTCTTTGTTGTATTTGGTTTTCCTGAAGCGTATACAGCAGCTGGTTGGTCAGGGGATGAAGCTCATGATCTTCACCTGTTTGTGAACCACATCTCACTTTGAACACACTTCTGAAGCTAAGTCTTCCTCATGGCATGTGTTTGTTCTTAAGCTAAAAGAAGAGTTTTGATCCTTTTTGTCTCTAAGTTTCCATCTTTTCCCTTTGGGCTAAACAAAGGATGAAGGATGGCTACAATAGCTTTCTTATATTCCTTATAAAGATCATTTTAGGTGTCTTCTAGAATTTTATCACTCAAACAGAGAAATATTTTCTTATCTTTTAAAAGAATAACAGGTAATTTTTCACCAAAAATGTTACTCTCTGTATCAACTTCCACAATGACAGTAATTATCATTAATGGGATACTTTTTAAATTTTTTTACAGAATTCTTTCACATATTATGAAGCCCTAAAATTATACAAAGGACTTTTTGTATAAATATGTTTGTTCCTTGTAGGGTTGTAAAAACTCACCTGTAAAACCAAGTGAATTTGTTGATTTGTATGTGGATAGATTTTCATCAGTGATTCAATTGCTTTTAAAGTTTACAGTTCTCTTTGGCTTATGTATTTCTTCTTCAGTCAATTTTAGTGCTTGTGTTTTTATTTTTCTGGAAAATCATCATTTCATTTGAGTTTTTACATTTATGGGAAGGAAGTTATTTTCTATTTAAAAATACCTACTTCATCTGCATTTATTATTCTACCTTTTTATTCCTAATATTGTTATTTTTGTTTTTCCTTACCTTGACCAACATTCTCAGAAGTTTATCTATTTTATACTTTTTCAAAGAATTGGATTTTTATTGGTTTCTAGTTTATCACTTTCTTCTCTTTATTATTTAGCTACTCCTACTTTATTCGTGTGTATTTTTCTATTGTTTTTATTCCTGAATT